TCTCCCTCCTCTTGGTAACATTTGAATAAACAGAGACAGTGTTCTTGGTTGATGATTAATAACTCTGTTGATAGCAATAGCCTTATTTACTATATTGATGAAGAGAACTGAATTTTAAACAGCCGGTCCAGAAGTCCACCAGGGATGTGAGAGGCCAAGACTCCTGGTGAGTATGCAGATTACAGTTATAATTATTCAACTAGTGACATTCAATTGGTTTTACCCTCAATTTTGAATTATCTATTATTTAAATACAACGTCCAGTTCTAGATAATCATATATCCATAATCTACTAGTAAAATATCACAGCAAAGTTCTATCAATAATTTTAGTTTTAAACTGAACCTTAAATCTCACCCTGATGAATCTTTGAATTTGACCTGAATAAAATTTTATCTGTTTATTAACAAGCTCTAATGTCTCTCTGTCTCTCCACTGTCCAGTTCTATTCCAGCCTTCCTTTAATTTTACCAACTGCTACCGTTTCCTGCTCAGCAGATCTAAGTTGTAATGAATGCAGAGGAAAGTGATGTTCAAGTTACATCTAAACTCCCTCAATTGTTCCTGTTGGAGTCAGTTTACAAAAGATCAGATAAGAGTCAGATTTAGGACCAAATATGAATGAGGCTCAAATGTGGCTAGAATAAAATCCGATGGGGGCCAGAAATGGGCCAAATCTGAGTCATTCCACTTTTTTTAAAAAGCCTTGACTCCAAAAAATCGGATTTAGGTCAAATTTATCTGCGGTGGGAAAACTTTTTATGTCTCTACTTCTACTCACCTGAGTCTAATATTCAGGTCATCATCAGGACTGTGGAGAATTTGGCTGCATACTGAGGAGGTAATTCAGCCATTTGACTCAGGTGTGTGGAAGCAGAGACACATCTAAAAGGTTCAGGACACCAGACCTCGAGGACTGGAAGACCCCTGCTACATTTTAATAAACTGAACAAATATTAAAATCTGCTAAGCATGCAAAAAAAAAAAAAAACGAAGAAAATAAAACTTCCCCTTATGATGTTTCTCAACATCCCCTTAATGTTGAGAAAAGTTTAAAACAGACTAAAGAGTCCTCAGGCGTTTTCATAGTTCTCTCCATCCTCATCTTCTTTATGCTCTTCAGAAAAAATAAAAACAGAAAAACAAATATTACTTCTTTTAGAAACAGATAAAATAAAAACCCTTCAGCAGCAGTTAATAGAATCGCTGAATCACTCTTTAACACCTCAGAATAAGTATCTTCTCAAAAGTAATCCAGAGCCTTAGACATGTGATGTCCTGGTGGTCTAGAGGCCTTTAAAAAATAAATAAATGTAGACATTGCCAGAATAAGAGATAAAGCCAGGCTAATGCACCAGACTCTGGGTTTATTTAAACAGGCCTCTGATTTTATTCCTGCAGCTTCATCAAGTCAGGTATAAATAATAAAGGTAAATGCAGGTCTGCAGTTTTCTTCCAGAGACCATGAGGTTGATCACAGATTCATTGATTCAGCAACAATAGCAGATTAACTGAATGCTCAAACAGCCTAAAATACACATTCTAACCGCTTCTATAAAGTAAATGCCAAAACGTAATGATTTATTGGATATAAAAGTCAAATGAACAACTTTTAACCTAAAAGTGAACAATGGAAGCAAGAATGGCAACATATGCAGATCTCACAGTTTATAGATTTTTATTAGATTTTTGCTTAATATTCAGTCTGTCTCGTAGCCTGTTAAACCAGACTAAATGTGAGATTAAATGTGGAATTTATTCTGGCCTCGATGAATGAGACATCGGAAGATTGTTGATGAGAACAACCTGTTTTTTTTTCAAACCATGTCTGTGCCTATTGGCCAACGCTCTGACCAATGAGCACAACTGACTATGACGTAGGAAGCGCGACAGAAAGCTTGTGGGGGAGTGTAAACAAACAGCTTGTCGGTAAAACGGTGAATATGTCCTTCTTAAAAATGAATGAGCGTAGAGCCTCTTCCTGCTCATGTTTCAACGAAAACACCAAGTCTAATCCTTCCAGAACTGATTCCAAAGCTGAGCCAAAACCCACGATCAGAGCCAGCCGTCCTTCAAACACGACTATGCCGAGAGAGGGCCGCTGCTGTTAGCCTCTGAGGTCCGCTAGTTGCTGCGGTCCTCTCAACTTTGGAAATAGTTTTTTTTAATTACGCATTAAATCGGTAAATGGACCATATAGTGACGCTTTAAAGTATAATATTCTCGCCTCAAATGATCTTAAAACGTACTTTTATTGAACAGCAACAGAAAAGAGAACTTTTAACTTTCAATGGAGCGCTCCATTGAAAGCTGTTGCTGCCGAAGTGCATGCTACTGTTCAATAGTTGTTGCCATCTTCCTTGTTGTGCTTTGTCCAGCGTTGTGCATCTTTGTCGTCATGCCATCAAAACCCCCCACCACTTTGCATCCAGACATTCAAAACACATTTTAGGGCCTGGGGCATTGATCAAGGCTAGACCAAACTCGCAGGCAAAAATAATATTGGCAGCCGACTTAATCTCTTATGCTGGTGTCATTGAAATCAGCCTCTGATCTTGTTGCATGTTTGTCTTTTCCTTCCTGCAGCTTTTGAGTTCAGTTGGTAAAGATCTAGAAGCACCAGAGAGGTGGAAGTGACAGCCTATAGAGCTGCTCCTGCAAAGTGTTTCTCTCACTGGGAGGCTGCTTGATAACCTGAGTCAGGCTGTTGTTATAAGCAACTTTTCGCCTTATCTCTTCTACTGTTAACAGTGACTATCGGGATGAACATTTCTTTATTGACGACATAATCATTTCTCATTTCATTGTTAATCTTTGATGTCAGAATAGAGAAAGCTAAGCTGTGTTTTTAGAGTTTCCTCTTTTTTTTCTAACAATGAGCAAAGATGGAAACAGACGAGTTTAGAAATATAAATACTGACATTAAAATCTCTAACTTCATCACCAACAGGTGTTAGAAGAGAACAAACACAATAAACCAGATTTTTTGCAAATCAAAGCATATTCTGAGATTTATACCGATTGATATAATCAATCAAAAGCGAAGTGAGGATTCAGATTCAACAGATTATAAAATTGTTTTATTTCTTTCTATCTTACCTTTAGTTCTGGTCCAAACGTTGGTGATCACAACTGTAATAGAAAGAGCTGCTAAACCCACAGAGACGATGATGATATGCCATAAACCTGAAAGAGAAACAAGAAATAATGTTCTGTAGTCAAAAGTTAAAATTATATTTTACTTTATTAGCAGTCAAATGATTTTCATTGTTTAAACTGTTTGTCAGCATAGAACTAAGCTAGAATGGATGGTAAAAGATTATTTAAGAAACTCAAAAATTGATGAGAGAGGATATAAGATCAACATTTGTGTGTGAGTGAGTTGGCGGGGGCATGCATTTTTTACAGTGTGGGGACCGTTTTCCATGAATAATGGCACATTCTGAGGACCGACTGCTCCAGTAGGGACCAATGCCTGGTCGCCATGGACACAGATGCTGTTTTAAGGTGAGTTTAAAGACTAAGGTATGAATTGAGTTTAGGATGAGGTTAGGATTAGGCATGAACGCATAATGCTTAGGTTTAGGGTCACAGTTAGGCTTTAAAAATTGGCTAGAAATGATGGTACTCAATGAAAATGTCACATATGTATAGAGAAACATGATTGTGTGTGGAGTATAAACTAGATTTATCTTTTATTGTAAAACAAAGAGAAATGACTTAAAAGTTTTAACCTGAATTGCTGCTGTTTTGTTTCAATTCTTTCTCTGACCAGGAAAAGTTCACTCAGTCACTGTTCAGCTAGCTTCCCTATAAACCTCACACTCACACAGCAGCCCTGCTTAGAGAAACTAGCAGAGGTGAGCTGCAGCAATGGCTGCTTCAGGGGGAAAGATGGTGATTTCAGAGTGGAGGTACAGACACTATTTTACTTTCCATTAGATACATCCACATAGCATGAAAAGAAGGAAAGCAGCCGTGGCATAGATGATTTAAAGGCTGTTTTAATCATGACACTATTGCAGGTGAGGTTGACAACATTCACTAATTCTAAGGTATATCCAACAAAATAACCTCGACAATGGCAATAAATTCAGCTCTAAAATGTCCCAGCCTATGGAGGAAGAAGTGACTTTTATTAACATTGATGATGTTTTTTAAAACTGCGAGTCTGATTTATCTCAGAAGAATTATAATTTAGAAAGATGTATTTCTGGTTTTATCAGTCTGCACTCTCATCCCTAACTCCCCATGTGAAAATCAAAAAGATGACTGAAATTACAACATGATAACAGGAGCTCAAGACAAACCACTCATATATCATAACTGAGTATAATTGGGCCAAACCTTGATTTGTTGTGTCAGAAGTTCTCCTGCTCCCAAACGTTTGCTTTAGGTCCTTGTTTCCTGGAGTGGCTTCATTTGTTCAGTTTCCAGGAAAAATAAGAAACAAAGTTGATAAATATTTTGTAATGAATTACAGCATCGTGTCTTTTAAGTGTAAAGATTTAACTTATTAGTAAAGTTTTATCAGATGTTTTTTTTATCTTATTTCATGTCTTTATTCCCTCATTTTAGAACCAAAAAGGCCAAAATGTGCAGATTATAATATACATCATATGATCATGATTTTGAAATATACTAAAACATTAGAACAATCACTACCTTGAAAGGTTGGTGAGATATTTTCTGTTTCTGGTTTGGTTGTCTTTGAATTTGTGTTTCCAAGTTTGTTCGTTGGTTGAACTTTTCCTCCAGATATTTCTGGAAACAACAACAAAGTGTCAGAAACTAAAACTGTTCATTTGTTAGTCTTTAAAACTCTTGCAAAGTATTAGACAGATTAAATAACTATATCAGTTGATTTTGGTCATTAATAACAATCCGATTATTAATAAATGAGAAAATAGTCCAGTTGTGCTCAAATCTTGAATCTAATCCTAGTTTCCTGTGATGTCAGTGATCTTCTTCAGTTCATCATCTTCTAACCTGTTTCTCACCTGAGGACTGAAGACTGAAGGTAAACTCTTCATCAGTAACAGTATCAGTCACTTTACACTGAGGGAACTCAGACCCTGATGATTAAGAGACAGTCGCGGAGCAG